TCATACCAAGACTTAACCCCTGCATCCTGAAAATGACTATGGCACCTACCTAGCTTTGGGGAGCTGTGCCTATATGATGAAAGTAACTAGGGTCCAAAACCTGCCCTTAGATAAACATGTAACCTCTATTTATAGAGCTTACAAATTTGACCCACATTCTCCTTATGTCAATGAGCTCTACTGATCATGTTCAGGGAAAGTAGATGATATGCAGTGGGGAAGCATATCTGGTGGCCTGAGTAGGAAAATTAAAAAAAAAAAAAAAATCTTGAAGAGCAGAGACCTGGTACACTTTTTAAAAAAAAAGAGATTTGGAGTTTGCACAGCTCGGAAGCAGGCAGGGACATTTTATTTAATGTTATCATGTTTAGTATCAATCCATTTAGTAATAAGAGGATGTTTTTCCCTGGTACTTTTTCCTTCTGTCCCTCATTTTCCCTATCTGGATAATGATACTTACCTTCACATTGAGATCTGCTGATGAAAAATGCTATAGAAGAGCTAAGTGTTTTTATTTACTAAAGATGGGTCAAAAAGGTACAGCTAAGTGCAATTACAGTGTTAAATACAACTGGAGGGACTTTGGTGCTTATAAAGAAGAGGAACTAACATAATAATAGAGAGCTGTGTAGAACAACATATAGTACAGATGCTGTGTGTCATAAATATAAAGGGAAGGGTAACCACCTTTCTGTATACAGAACTATAAAATCCCTCCTGGCCAGAGGCAAAACCCCTTCACCTGTGAAGGGTTAAGAAGCTAAGATAACCTCGTTGGCACCTGACCAAACTGACCAATGAGGAGACAAGATACTTTCAAAGCTGGAGTGGGGGAAACAAAGGGTCTGTCTGTCTGTGTGATGCTTTTGCTGGTAACAGATCAGGAATGGAGTATTAGGACTTGTTAGTAAGTAATCTAGCTAGAAATGCGTTAGATTTCCTTTTGTTTAAATGGCTGGTAAATAAGCTGTGCTGAATGGAATGTATATTCCTGGTTTTGTGTCTTTTTGTAACTTAAGGTTTTGCCAAGGGGGATTCTCTGTGTTTTGAATCTGATTACCCTGTAAGGTATTTACCATCCTGATTTTACAGAGGTGATTCTTTTACTTTTTCTTTAATTAAAATTCTTCTTTTAAGATCCTGACTGCATTTTCATTGTTCTTAAGATCCAAGAGTTTGGGTCTGTGTTCACCTATGCAAATTGGTGAGGATTTTTATCAAGCCTTCCCAAGGAAAGGGGGTGTAGGGCTTGGGGGGAAGACGTCTCCAAGTGGGCTCTTTCCCTGTTCTTTGTTTAACACGCTTGGTGGTGCCAGCATAGGGTTCAAGGACAAGGCAAAGTTTGTACCTTGAGGAAGTTTTTAACCTAAGCTGGTAAGAATAAGCTTAGGGGGTCTTTCATGCAGGTCCCCACATCTGTACCCTAGAGTTCAGAGTGGGGAAGGAACCTTGACACTGTGCTATGTAAATTTCAAGTCACTCTCAATGTACAATACACAGTATAAAATATATTCATCACTAAACTAGGTATTATGCCACTGAAAGTGTTGCAGGTCTCTCAGTGGCATAATATCTATTCTAGACGTAAATATATTGTACACTGTCTATATGAGAGGTTTGATGAGCCACATATTATTAGAAAACCCCTACTAAGGCACAAGCCACTGAATACTTTATGTATCTGTTTATCCTTGATAATGCAGCTATACATACGGCACAGTCAACCTTCTAAAAAAAAGTCAGGAATCATCTATCACAGCTTTGGGCTGAAGACACTGACTTTTATTTGCTAAAATCTTTTCTTCCTGAACACTATGACAGTTGGGCTCAGAGTGCCTGGGCTGCTGAGCTGAACTCTGCCACTGCAACTATTCTCACCTACTACAGGACAGGCCCAACGAAGAAAATAACAGAACGCCACGAGCCATCACCTTCAGCCCCCAACTAAAACCTCTCCAAGGCATTATCAAGGATCTACAACCTATCCTGAAGGATGACCCATCACTCTCACAGATCTTGGGAGACAGGTCAGTCCTTGCTTACAGACAGCCCCCCAACTTGAAGCAAATACTCACCAGCAGCCACACACCACACAACAGAACCACTAACCCAGGAACCTATCCTTGCAACAAAGCCCGTTGCCAACTGTGTCCACATATCTATTCAGGGGACTCCATCATAGGGCCTAATCACATCAGCTGCACTATCAGAGGCTCTTTCACCTGCACATCTACCAGTGTGATCTCTGCCATCATGTGCCAGCAATGCCCCTCTGCCATGTACATTGGTCAAACTGGACAGTCTCTACGTAAAAGAATAAATGGACACAAATCAGATGTCAAGAATTATAACATTCATAAACCAGTCGGAGAACACTTCAATCTCTCTGGTCACATGATTACAGACATGAAAGTTGCAATATTACAACAGAAAAACTTCAGAAACAGATTCCAACGAGAGACTGCTGAATTGGAATGAATTTTCAAATTGGATACAATTAACTTAGGCTTGAATAGAGACTGGGACAGGTTGAGTCTTTATAAAAAGTAACCTATTTCCCCTTGTTTATTCCTCCCCTCCCCCCCCACACACTGTTCCTCAGACGTTCTTGTTAAACCCTGGATTTGTGCTGCAAATGGCCCAACTTGATTATCATACACATTGTAAGGAGAGTGATCACTTTAGATAAGCTATTACTAGCAGGAGAGTGGGGTGGAGGGAGAGAAAGCCTTTTGTAGTGGTAAACACCCATTTTTTCATGGTCTGTGTGTATAAAAACATCCTCACTGTATTTTCCACTTTATGCATCCGATGAAGTGAGCTGTAACTCACGAAAGCTTATGCTCAAATAAATTGGTTAGTCTCTAAGGTGCCACAAGTACTCCTTTTCTTTTTGCAAATACAGACTAACACGGCTGTTACTCTGAAAACTGACAAGTTGTTGGGTTAGTTTTGTGATCATCAGAAGAATTACCAACTCCCATTTTACCATACTTTTAATAAAATTTTATACTGATAAAACAGAAGGGTGCAAGTATCAAGATTTATTTAATTACATTTCCACCCACACAAATCTGCGATAAAGCATAGTTTGCAGTGTGATTGAGGAAATTACATAGGAACTGCCTGAACACAATAGCCTGTAAATGGTGATAATGAAAGATTCAATCTGCTTTGAAGGTAGTGGGTAGCACACAGACATCTGCTCTTACATCTCTTTTTACTGTTAACACAGAAAACACAAAGAAACCAGAATCCTGAAAATTTCCAGTGTGTTTAATATATATGGTAAACAGTATTAAGAAACTGCCCTAGAGTATAATGATACTTTCTCTGTCACCATGTTCAGGGTCCTTTTCAGTTGTATTTATAAAGAAGTTGAAATTGAGGTAATATGAGTACTATGATGCCACATGATAAATAAGAAAGCAAACAATATAAAGGAAAAGCTGATGTAATTTGAGGAATTTCCCTTCCTCAGCAACTGTGTGTCTAGGAGTGAATTCCATCCTTCATAACCTTTTAAAAATCTCTAGGCACAGTTCTATGTTTGTTAGAGTTGATTTTTTGTTTAACAATTTTGACTTTTTTTGATGAATTTTGTGGCAAATTTTCAAACTTTGACCAAAAAGTAGTCTGACATTTTTGCAGGTGGTTGTTGTTGTTTTTGAAAAATGTAACCTCAGGCTTTTGACCAGCTATAGAATTGCTTGACATTTTTTAAACATGAATGAGAAAACGAAGCTTTTTCTTGCATGATAATTGGGAGACCTGACTGAAAAATGGAAATTGTGTGGGTAAAAATTTTCATGAAAATTTGCCCCCTTTTTTCCATCAGCTCTCCATTTAGTGAGCAAGAAAAATACAGAACATTTAATGGAGTACTAGTGGCACCTTAGAGACTAACCAATTTATTTGAGTATAAGCTTTCAGGAGCTACAGCTCACTTCATCGGATGCATAGCTGTAGCTCACGAAAGCTTATGCTCAAATAAATTGGTTAGTCTCTAAGGTGCCACTAGTACTCCTTTTCTTTTTGCGAATACAGACTAACACGGCTGCTACTCTGAAACAGAAAATTTAATATAACCACTGACTGTAGTGTATCTAATACTATGCCTTGATAAGTAATAGAGAATTCTACGTTATTTTCAGTGTTTATTCAGTTCTTTTATTGAGTAACATGGGGCAGAAAATCTAGGTGCACAAAATAAAGTATACAGATTATTTGCTGTACAGAAAAAGGAAAAATATAATATAAAAATCATACTGGAGTGACAAATTATTCCAGTCTCCCCTCCGCCCATTATATAATGTTCAAGAAACAAGGTTATTTTACCCATGTGCTTTGTACATTTATTAGTTAACTAACTGTGATGCTGGCAGACCAGGTCATGCCAGAGTGTAATCAGGCCAATTCACTTGTGTATTATAGATCAAAGTGATTGTTGAAGGTAGAAGAGTGCATTTGGTGTTTAGACTTCATAAAAGGAATGGGACGTTAACTTGCATTGTTTTCACTTATCTGTATCCTGTTATAATGCAACAGCAAACATTTATATTGTTTATACCCCTCTGACTAAATAACCCATCAAAGAAGCCTTGTGGAATGCTAATGAAGGACTTTAACCAAAAAAACCCTGCTAATTTCAAAGCAAGTGGCTATTGTTTGGGATGACCAGAGGTTAAAGACTTAAAGTGCATTCCTCACTCACTGTCATCAAAGGAAAAGCCCATGTGGGTAGAGACACAGTCAGCTTGTTTTTTGTCAGAAGAAGCTATAAATATGGTTTCAAAGAAAGATCCTTCATCTCCAGAGAGTTTGGACTCTTACAGGGAAGTGTATCAGATACAAACAGAGAATCTTTTCCCCTGAAAAGACATGGGGAAACTGGCAGTTTATTACGTCACTGCCACCATTTGGAACTTCAAACTCTGACACACCAGTACATATAGTTTACCTGCTTTAACCTCTCAATAACTCTCATTTTCTCTTTTTAGCTAATAAACCTTTAGTGAGTTTACTATAGAATTGGCTACCAGTATTGTCTTTGGTGTAAAATCTGGAGTACCAATTGATCTGGGGTAAGTGACTGGTGTCAGATAACAACCTGATTTGGTGTTATTTTTGGCTGAAGTGATCTTTTATCACAAAATTCAGTTTGTCTGGGTGGAAAGATAGACTGGAGAGTTTAAGGGGACTGTCTGACTCCATGATAAGACTGGTAGAGATTTCCAGGAGTTCACATTTGTTTCTGGTTTGGTGAAATCTAATTATGGAACACACCACCAATTTGGGGTGTCTGTCCCGTTTTGTGACAGTCTGCCTTGAGGTGGGTATTCACATGTCTGAGCCACTCCAGACAGTGTGACAGTAACTATTTTTGTTTCAGTTTAAAAAAAAAAACACACCATTTTTCAGGGTTGTTTTTTTTTTTTAAAAAAAAGCATTAACCTAGAGGTGAATGGAAAGTTTTAGCAATTAGTTACATATTGATTTAATTTCAGCACACAAGCGTAATTAACAGAGTTATGTAAAATTGGTAATGAAATAGTGCTACTGAACAGAAAAATAAAGAAAGAAAGAAAAATCCTATTTTGGATGGAAAGTGTTTATGGTTTAACCTCTGAAGAAAATATAGTGCTTAATACCCAAGGGGTATGTGATGTATAATGTTTCTCTGGAACACCAACATGTTTCCTCTCACCGTATTTTCCCATCAATGTGGATTTTTAGCAGTCAAGGTTTAAAATAAATCTGACTCTACACAGAGGGAACTTCAGGGCTACTACATCTCCCCAAAAAGAAAAGGAGTACTTGTGGCACCTTAGAGACTAACCAATTTATTTGAGCATAAGCTTTCGTGAGCTACAGCTCACTTCATCGGATGCATACTGTGGAAAGTGTAGAAGATCTTTTATACACACAAAGCATGAAAAAATACCTCCCCCCACCCCACTCTCCTGCTGGCAATAGCTTATCTAAAGTGATCACTCTCCTTACGATAAAAGAAAAGGAGTACTTGTGGCACCTTAGAGACTAACCAATTTATTTGAGCATGAGCTTTCGTGAGCCACAGCTCACTTCATCAGATGTGTACCGTGGAAACTGCAGCAGACTTTATATACACACAGAGAATATGAAACAATACCTCCTCCCACCCCACTGTCCTGCTGGTAATAGCTTATCTAAAGTGATCAGCAGGTGGGCCATTTCCAGCACAAATCCAGGTTTTCTCACCCTCCACCCCCCCACACAAATTCACTCTCCTGCTGGTGCTAGCCCATCCAAAGTGACAACTCTTTACATAATCAAGTCGGGCTATTTCCTGCATAGATCCAGGTTTTCTCACATCCCTCCCACCCCCATACACACACAAACTCACTCTCCTGCTGGTAATAGCTCATCTAAACTGACCACTCTCCAAGTTTAAATCCAAGTTAAACCAGAACATTCGGGGGGTGGGGGGTAGGAAATAACAAGAGGAAACAGGCTACCTTGCATAATGACTTAGCCACTCCCAGTCTCTATTTAAGCCTAAATTAATAGTATCCAATTTGCAAATGAATTCCAATTCAGCAACGAGCCTCTGATAGTGTGGCTGATGTTATTAGGCCCTGTGATGGTGTCCTTACCCATAACTATTTCACATTTGGGGACAATGTATACCTTCAGATCAGCGGCACTGCTATGGGTACCCGCATGGCCCCACAGTATGCCAACATTTTTATGGCTGATTTAGAACAACGCTTCCTCAGCTCTCGTCCCCTAAAGCCCCTACTCTACTTGCGCTATATTGATGACATCTTCATCATCTGGACCCATGGAAAAGAAGCCCTTGAGGAATTCCACCATGATTTCAACAATTTCCATCCCACCACCAACCTCAGCCTGGTCCAGTCCACACAAGAGATCCACTTCCTGGACACTACAGTGCTAATAAACAATGGCCACATAAACACCACCCTATACCGGAAACCTACTGACCGCTATTCCTACCTGCATGCCTCCAGCTTTCACCCTGACCACACCACACGATCCATCGTCTACAGCCAAGCTCTGCGATACAACCGCATCTGCTCCAACCCCTCAGACAGAGACAAACACCTACAAGATCTCTGTCAAGCTTTCTTACAACTACAATACCCACCTGCAGAAGTAAAGAAACAGATTGATAGAGCCAGAAGAGTTCCCAGAAGTTACCTACTACAGGACAGGCCTAACAAAGAAAATAACAGAACGCCACTAGCGGTCACCTTCAGCCCCCAACTAAAACCCCTCCAACGCATTATTAAGGATCTACAACCTATCCTAAAGGATGACCCAACACTCTCACAAGTCTTGGGAGACAGGCCAGTCCTTGCCTACAGACAGCCCCGCAACCTGAAGCAAATACTCACCAACAACCACATACCACACAACAGAACCACTAACCCAGGAACTTATCCTTGCAACAAAGCCCGTTGCCAATTGTGCCCACATATCTATTCAGGGGACACCATCACAGGGCCTAATAACATCAGCCACTCTATCAGAGGCTCGTTCACCTGCACATCCACCAATGTGATATATGCCATCATGTGCCAGCAATGCCCCTCTGCCATGTACATTGGTCAAACTGGACAGTCTCTATGTAAAAGAATAAATGGACACAAATCAGATGTCAAGAATTATAACATTCATAAACCAGTCGGAGAACACTTCAATCTCTCTGGTCACGCAATCACAGACATGAAGGTCGCTATCTTAAAACAAAAAAACTTCAAATCCAGACTCCAGCGAGAAACTGCTGAATTGGAATTCATTTGCAAATTGGATACTATTAATTTAGGCTTAAATAGAGACTGGGAGTGGCTAAGTCATTATGCAAGGTAGCCTGTTTCCTCTTGTTTTTTCCTACCCCCCCCCCAGATGTTCTGGTTTAACTTGGATTTAAACTTGGAGAGTGGTCAGTTTAGATGAACTATTACCAGCAGGAGAGTGAGTTTGTGTGTGTATGGGGGTGGGGGGGATGTGAGAAAACCTGGATCTATGCAGGAAATAGCCCGACTTGATTATGTAAAGAGTTGTCACTTTGGATGGGCTAGCACCAGCAGGAGAGTGAATTTGTGTGGGGGGGTGGAGGGTGAGAAAACCTGGATTTGTGCTGGAAATGGCCCACCTGATGATCACTTTAGATAAGCTATTACCAGCAGGACAGTGGGGTGGGAGGAGGTATTGTTTCATATTCTCTGTGTATATATAAAGTCTGCTGCAGTTTCCACGGTATGCATCTGATGAAGTGAGCTGTAGCTCACGAAAGCTCATGCTCAAATAAATTGGTTAGTCTCTAAGGTGCCACAAGTACTCCCTTTCTTTTTGCGAATACAGACTAACACGGCTGTTCCTCTGAAACCTCTCCTTAGGATGAGAATGATAATCAAGATGGGCCATTTCCAGTCCAAATCCAGGTTCTCTCACCCGCCCTCCACCCAACACACACACACAAACCCACTATCCTGCTGGTAATAGCTTATCTAAAGTGACCACTCTCCTTACAATGTGTATGATAATCAAGGTGGGCCATTTCCAGCACACAAATCCAGGGTATAACAAGAATGTCTGGGGGGGGGGGGGGGGAAGAGTTAGGAAAAAACAAGGAGAAATAGGTTACCTTGCATAATGACTTTGGGAGTGGCTAAGTCATTATGCAAGGTAACCTATTTCTCCTAACTCCCTTCCCCCCCCCCACCCCACCCCACCCCCGGCTGTTCTTGTTAAACCCTGGATTTGTGCTGGAAATGGCTCACCTTGATTATCATACACATTGTAAGGAGAGTGGTCACTTTAGATAAGCTATTGCCAGCAGGAGAGTGGGGTGGGGGGGAGGTATTTTTTCATGCTTTGTGTGTATAAAAGATCTTCTACGCTTTCCACAGTATGCATCCGATGAAGTGAGCTGTAGCTCACGAAAGCTTATGCTCAAATAAATTGGTTAGTCTCTAAGGTGCCACAAGTACTCCTTTTCTTTTTGCGAATACAGACTAACTCTGAAATACATCTCCCCAGTCAATCTCACATCTCCGTAGGGACTACTAAATATTTTAAATGGAAATTAATGATTTTCTTGCCACATTTGCAAACAGCAGTTCAGTGAACCATACTCTCTGCTTCACTGACCCTCTCTGCCCTGTATTTCAGTTCCCATTTGAGACATGATTTTAATTTTTGATGAGGCTTTAGTGTTTGGATCTCAGCAACACTGACCTCACAGCAGATGAGAGACTGGCTTACAGTCTGAAATGAGTCATCCTGCATTGCTGAAACTACTTGCAAATGTTTCAATAAGAATAGGTTAAGGTATGGGGGCCACAAGGTGGTTTGTGTTTGGAACATAATTCAATTTATTTTTTACTGGATTTTTTTATTCAATCACAAAATGATTTAATGAAAGAGATGGAAGATAGATTATATTTTACCAAGTTGGATAAAGAAAGAAAGAGAAGAGAAAATGATATACAGAAATAAAGTGAGGTGTTGTTGTTAACCTATTTCCATAAATTTGCATTATGCTTTAAAAAATACAGTACACACAATCAATATCCTGAAAATGTTACAATCTGTATTTGGAAAAAAAAATAACTAAATCTAACATTTAAAAGTAATACAAATATAAACAAATATTATTTTAACCTAGTTACAATGACCGGGGGTGCAGGTTGAAGGAAGCAATAATGAAGGGAATGAAAAGTGAAAAGTATTTAGTGTCAGACTTAACCTACGGCTATCAGGTGAAATAAGAGGAAATCAAGTGGCAAGGTGGCTTCAAAGGAATGAAGAAATTTCTTATAATGAGGCAGAGCAAGGGAAACAAATCTCTCACTATGAAACCTCAAAATAGGCAGGGAGGAATGGGTAAATAGGAAGGTGGAACAGGTGAATAATAATAGGTCAGTGAGGTGGGGGAAGGAGGTGGTATATGCAGAGTTTTGAAAACCAGGACAGTAATTTTGGCTTGGATATGGCTCCAAAGCCAGTGAACTGGGGAAGATATCTTACTTCCTGTAGTAAAATGTCATGTGGGCATAGCATTTTTGGACCTCCTCAGTAGAATTTTAAAAGACCATAAATGTAAGAAGAATTACAATAATGTATTTGTTTCTTTATTCCACTATGTCACAGGATATGTCACCCCTCAAGAAGAGGTCTAACAAAGGGTGGATATTCATCATGAGACCCAGACCTGCTCCCATTGTAGTCAGTGGGAGCTCTGCTATGCCATATATAAAGGTATTTCACATTACCTAGGGACTCATTGTCCACATGGTCTGCCATATTTGTTAACCTTCAAGGCACTATAAAAAGCCTGTCTTTCCATGAGAGGTTTGCTGAGAAAAGAGAGGTTTGGAGAAGTCTATTTTATTTAAGTCTATTGTGTTTATTATTTTACTTGCTAGATAGCATATATTTCCATGTGTTTTATAGTGAGCTAGGGAGCCATTTATATTATAATGCATTCTGATGGTGTTATTGTATATGTTAAATGTGTAATGGGGACCCAGAACTTAGGATGAGTACCTTCAGAGTTATTTTAAATTGAAATAAATTAATGTACAAATATCTTAATGTCCAGTATGACTGCAGTGGGCAGATTTCACCTCCTTTGTGTCAGCTCTCCCTGCATACCTCAGTTAAGTATTCTCCAACTAGAAAGACAAAACGCTTGTCTGACTAAATAGATCTAAAGCCACTAGGTTATAATGTAGGCACAAATGCACTTCTGGATGAATTCAGTGAAGAGACCAATGATCACAGCACTACCAGTCACATTTTCATGTATCATCTACTGGCCATGAAATTTGTTGAGGGCAGTAAGCACTGAAAAAAGTGTAATAAGAGACTGGAAACTCCTAAATATGCATCTGTGTGTGGGGGTAGGAGGGGTGGGTTCAGAGGAGTTGCTTACTCTTTGAAAGGACAGGAGATTCATAGTAAAAAAGCACCCATGAATTCCCAAGAATCTTATGGATTTCAGCATATTTTCTGGAAGATAAGGACGTCACCCCTAACTCTTCCCAACCTCCCTCATTTTCCTCTTTCCCTTACCCTGTGAATCCTAATCTCTGTATAGCACTTCTACTGAGTAAAGGGAAAGTGCCACCAATATCTCAAACGCTGGCTTTGCACCCTTTTCAACCAGAATGACAAGTTTTCATCCTCAACACCAGCAGAGGTGAAAGGACACTTTGCCCTTTGTTAAGTCACTTACCTACTCTGCTTAGCTAGTGATAAACCGAGGCTCAAAGCTCGGTATTTCTAGGCTTCTATTCCCATGGTCAGGCCATTTGATTTTCAAACTTTCCCACTTGACTGCTTATTGTATTTTCTTTCTTTCTTCCACAATCCAGCCATAAAAGAAAGGGAGGGTAATCACAACCCCCCAAGTTGAGAACTTATACATTAGACCATGCTGACTACGGGCCCAATCCAATTCCCATCCAACTTAATGGAAAGACTCCCACGGCTTTGAACTGGAATGGGATCAGACCCTATAAGGGCTATCTTTTGTGCTGAACATACTAGAAGTTTTCGCAAAAAGAAAAGGAGTACTTGTGGCACCTTAGAGACTAACCAATTTATTTGAACATAAGCTTTCGTGAGCTACAGCTCACTTCATCGGATGCATACTGATGAGCTGTAGCTCACGAAAGCTTATGCTCAAATAAATTGGTTAGTCTCTAAGGTGCCACAAGTACTCCTTTTCTTTTTGCGAATACAGACTATCATGGCTGTTACTCTGAAACTAGAAGTTTTGTCGCTATTATCCTAGCATGTTTTCCTTTTGATCCAAAAAGGAGTGAAACCTAATTTTCTGGAGACAAAAAATAAATAAAAATAGTGCACTGGAAAAAAAAAAAAAAAAAAGCTAAAACACCTATCTTTCAGAGAGTAGTTTTAATCAAGCTAATTAAAGATAATGCAAACATGGAAATGTGATTCTGATTTTATTTTAAAGTGATTTGTCACCAGGCAGTGGTTTTTCTCCTCCCCATGCTTTCACAACTCTAATATGACTTTTTTCTTTTTCCTTTGCTAGGGCTGAGTACTATGACAGGCAGCAGGATTAATGATACAACGCAAAGGTCCTGTTGTTATTTAATAGATAACTATATCATAACAAACTGTGTGTAAAACAATAAATGTTTCCTGCAGTGCTGTTAAAGAGCTAGTCTGTGGGCCATAGCATTAATGTTCTATGGAAAGCATTTGTAAGGCTTACACGCTTCTCCCTGGCCCATTTGTGATGCTGCTATGATACTGGAGATGTAACATTTCATTCTGTTCCAACCATTGCTATTACACATGTTCCCTATGGGTCACCAAGGGCAAATGTGTTGATTGGCGTGTGTTGAAGAAGTTAATAAGGGGGCAGCCAAACTCCAGCTAGAATTGCCACCTGTCAGATTTTTACACAGATAGGTTTCTGAAAGCTGTGTTGGGAGTTAGGCCACAGACAAGCGATACTGTTTGATATTTTGTTAGCAACTTCCAGGGTCAACTATAAAGTATGCATTTTAAAATTCCTCCCTGTTAAAATGGATGGATACTAGGACTGCACTCCTATGGTGCAAGCTATTGGTATTAAAATGAACAATCTACTGGCTCTGTGGAAACCATAATTGAGCACAGTGGTCTCATATTGATTTCAAACATCCTTCCTAATTAATTCTGCTGTCGATAAGCCAGCCCATCAGATGTCTTTCAACCAATGGATCAAACCTAATATACGCTAAACTGTAACCCTGAATATGTTGACTTTGTTAACCTAGTTACCGTATTCAAAGGCAGAAAAAATTGTGTAGGCTTATTCCTTTAAAAGTAAAAGTACTAAATATTATATTCTAACATGTTTGTCTTGCTTTTGTCTTTCCAGAATGAATTTTCACTGGTCATTTCCCAATTACTGTGCAAGTGAATCATTTTAAAATGACACTATTAGTTTTAAATAAATGGCAAGATCCTTCTAAGTGTGTCTTGTACTTAGTAATGATTTGTGTTGAGCAGAAATGCTGGAGCAGTGTTGTTGGCCTTTGGCTTTCCAGTACAAGTGTAGTACACATTAATGGCTCAGTAAGTGTGTGTCCCCTTCAGAGATGAATTTGAGGAGAAATTCTATTTCAGATGCGTTCAAGGGCAAAGCAAGCTGTTTGGAAAGTGGAGATGGTGAGAAATTGGCTTGTCAGACGCTCTCATTGAGGGCTTCTTGAACAGAGTCTCCCTCGTTACTGACACATGCTGCTGTTATGGGTAGGAGGACTCCCCCCCCACCATAAGTGCCAGTAATCCATCCAGTGGGAGCTCAAGGTTGAAAAAATGCTAAAAGGTGGGCTTTTGTCAGTGAATGAAAACAGACTAGTTTATCATAATATGGGCTTCAATGCATCCTCCCAGGGCATTGTATTAAGGGATTAGAAGTGATCCTGACATCTGTCAAAATGCACTGTCCCTTTTTACCCTTAGCATTAGTCAGTCTCTGTCTGAAGTCATGATTTTGCAATATTATGCCCAGATCCTTTCCTGAAATGCAGGAGCTCTTAGCCTAACTGAGGAAAAGGGTGCAAAGGCTCTTTAAACCAGGCTAATCTTGTGATGCAGTTTGCTATAACAGCCCCAATAGGCTGCTTGACACTTACAATCAGTGGGGAGAAGTGCCATCCCCCTTTTCGTTCTAGCTACACCCCCTAAGATGTCAGGCAGGAGAGGGGTGGCATAGGAGTCACTAAAGTGGCTCTATAGCCCTGACAAGCCCTTGTGCTGTGATCTCAGTGTGGAGTATTCCTCAGGTGATATAGAGCCACTTTACAACTCCTATACTATCTCCTTTCCTCCACCATTCCTTCCAGGAGTCAGATCCAGGGCTGCTTTCTCCCCAGGGAGAGATACAAGATGGCTATAGTATTTATCACTGTGTTCTTACCACAGCCAGAATAAAGAGGCTGGCCAGACAAATTGTCCGTGTGAATTTTTTGTTCAAAACCTTTAAGGAATAACTACATAAGACTTTTTTTTCCATTTGTTCATTTTTTCAGAATGTTTCCTAAGACAATGATTATAGCTCTTTTACCCCGTTTAAAAAAAATAAATGATTAAACAAGCTTTTCCACTCAAAGCGCAGAACAAGTACCTTGAATCCCCTGTTTGCTGCAGCAGATTGCTACAGTAACAACCAAAGAGAAGACTCAATTAGCATGTGAATAATCAGAAAATTCACAAAAATTGGTGGAAAAAAAAAAGAACAGGAAATGTTGTAAAACAACAAACCAGCACCTCTTTGTTTGTTAAGGGTTATATACTTTCCCTAATGTTTTCCTTTCATAGCACTCTGTGGGGGTTTTCTCCTCATTATTTATGTATTTATTTTAAAATAATAAAGATTATGTGGTAATCTCTAAATTGTGAAACAGATTAAATGTTATTCCTCTCAAATTGTCAGCAATCTGTATATATTCTCTGTATATATTTCACTAATGAAACACTGGCTTTTTGCCAAGACAGAATAAAGTCACTAACATGGTTATAGTAAACCTTGTAACAAAAGCAACCCAGTTTTTATTACAGATGAAATATATGTGTGAACATGAAAAAGTTCATGTAAGTGTCTATGTTATGGACAGGCTTAAATTTAATGAGGATGGGGTAAGCAGACAAGAAATACAGAACAAAAACCAGGAGTGAGGAATAAAGGAAATAAAGACAGAACAAACAGGTTGGGATTCTAGAGCTATCCTCAGCAGGGATTTACAGCTCTCAAGTTAACATTACAGTTCTTCAGCAGGCATGCAGTACATCGCTTTTATAATCTTCCAGTTCAATCTCTTGCATCAAGCAGCTCTCTGCTTTTATAGCAAAAGCTCCCTGTTCCTTACAGACTCAGGCTGAAACTCCAAGATGATAAGAATGGGTTGGTAATATAAACTTTGGAAATAGAAAGGTTCAAGGTGATGGGCTAAAATCAGTTCTGGGGCAACTGAGAGCACCTATTTTGAAGTTGGACACAGTGAGGAGCAGTAGAGTTGCATCTACGTACAACAGGTCTAAATTTCAGTGGGCTGAAACAGCTTCAGCTGTTTAAGGGCCTGGTACTGTGAGTTCCGATTGCTTCCTGTGAGGTGCTTGACTCCTGGTGACTTCAATAGAAGTAGAAGGGTTTTGTTATGAGAGGGACATGCCAGTCATTAAATTTATGCCAAACAAGAAGGAACTGATTTCTGGGGAAAGTTTTGCTGTTGAAAAATGAGTTCTACATATTTTAATATGCAAGGTTTCACTTAAAGCTGTGTAACCCTGAAGCTTCTAGATTAACTATATAAGCAAGGTGACATTTTCTGAGCATATACAGTGTAATGTTTAGTCACCGTTCAGGATTATGGCTGATTTTGGAGAGAAGGTGCAATACAGATATTAACAGCACAAGAAACCATCTAAATCTGACTCTGCTGTCTGCTCTAGCTTCTGGAAACAACCCCTTTACTCTGGTAATGCTGAAAGACTTAACACAAGCATTAGCAGAGTCATTACATACTAAAAATAGGGTTGATTGGGAATTTAAGGAATTGATAGGAGAGAGTCTGTCTAGGAGCTTGAAGATATTGGACAATTACTCTGTTAGAATAAACTGATGTAATTTCATTAAAATCAACAGTATATATAGACAGTGATTATATATAAGGATAGCTGTAGTTACAAATTACTGGAATAGAAGTTAGTATGCAAATTAGATAATGTAGTTACATTAATTTCAGTTTTTTCCTATTGCATCTATCTTATGCTCTAAGCACATATAAACACAATATAAAGTGTCAATAGAGCATAAAAAAACAGATCTTCCTATGAGGAAAATGGACCAAATTATCTGCTGGTGTAAACTGGCCAATTTCCAACAAAGTTAATAAATTTGGCTCCCTTGGCAGCATCTTTGCCAAATTATTACTATGCATCAAATTATCCACAAAGCTCTCTAGTGACAGCAAATAGCCATTGTCTGAATCTGGAAGAAATTCATGTTCAGAAATCCTCTGCCCAATATTTGGGGAAGTCCTAGTATTCAAGATACATTTGGATTTATAAATAAGATCATCATATACTGATCCCCAGGACTCTATCCTTCCAATAAGTCCCAGGACAAGAGCTGGTTGACAGAACCATATTCCTTTGGAATATGCAGTTCCATCAAAATGATTCACAAAATGAAGCTGATTTCATCATAATTTTGTTTCAGAAGAAAACTGGAGGAAAGAAAGTTCCAACAATATCAAAATGTCTCAATGTAACCTTTTGGGAACCAAACATTTCAGTTTTTCTTTTTGAAACAGCTTCACTTCATATTTTTTTAAATTTTGAGTTATATGATATAATTTTACAAATAGTCATTTGTACAAAATTTTAAAGTCAAAATTAAAAGTTAAAATCAAAATTAAAGAAAACACATTTTAATTTTGTCTAAACATAACATTTCAATCAACTGCAACATTTTTTTCCAGAAATTTCCTTTAGATAATTTTGAAATTTTTAGTCTCAGTTTCAATTTGGAACAAAGCCAAATTTCAAAATCCTTTCTGAAACAGAACTCCTATCCTCTCCCGTCTATCCAAGATTTGTTTTTGGAGAGGGGGAACTGTGCCTTTAAATCCTTTTCCCTTCTTAGGTTGGGGAGGTGGATGGAGAAGTGAAACAACTACTAAGACTTTCACGGGATGGTTGGCACACTTGCCCCTTTCATCCTGAGTCTTTTGAGGGAATTAACAAGATAGATCTGGTCACCGAAACCACTCCGAATCCTCCTGTTAGATGTCTTCTGGGCAACAGTAGGATTAGAAACAGTCCTGCTCCAACGGCCCTTAACTGTAGCTCTGTGAAATGCCACAGAATGCACTGGGCCTAAGGAAAATCCCTTATCCTGATGTTCAAACAATATTTGCCTTGCTAAGAATGGTGTTGCTACAGTATATATCCTGTTCAGCAAATTTAATATTCAGTTTGCCCATCCCTAAAGTTATCCTGAGGGAAAGTTCAGCACAGCGGTAACATGACTGTTTCAACCCACCTACTGTCACTTTTGAGATCATCAGGCCTCTCTAGAGAATATCTATACTATTTTAATCTTTACTGTATTACAGTATTAAATGACTTAAACAGTACCATTTGATTTTAATGGTCATTAAATTACTGCTGAATTATAGTGGGATTCTTATAGAAGTCAGCATGACATCCACATTAATTCCAAATGAATTAATTATGCTTAGTGCAATTACACTGAATATCAATGAGTTAAGAAGGACATGACACTTAAAAATTCTTACCATTAAAACAAACATTTACTGTACTAGATTTGTAAGCTATTTTCTACTTTACTGTAGCTTTAGCGAGGGCTACAAAATCCACATCACTGAGATACATGAATATTTTAAGGAGCACACAATCCTTACCATCCACAAATGCTTCATAATGGAATAGACAGCCATTTTAACTTACTCAGACAAGTGTTTGATGGTAGCTTTCTATAGTGGTCTTTCCCATTAAACTTGTTAAGTACAGAGATTGGTTTGGACATTAAAATCAGGTAACCTCATCATAAGGTATCCCATGAGACTTGTCAGATTAGAGAGCACTGCTGTATTAGGATGCCGCTGTCTGAAGTACTGCGATGCAGAAAACTGTACTGTTAGGAATGAAATGACAGTGGGCTTCCTCACTGCACCTTTTGCCATGTAAAACATAGGAAACTTCCACTCCAAGTTGCCCCTCACAGAACTGGCAGGGTTTTTTGCCTCCTCAACGTGCAGATGTCCCAAGATCTACATGGATCTTGAAAAGCCTACATTGGGGTAGGAGCATTTAAACTCAGGTTCAGGGCTACATGTGTCTCCATGGTCTTCTCCTCTGCTATGTCAGGATGGCTTCTGCAGGGTGTGCCAAAACCCCTGCTTGGGCCGATTTGCACCCATGTAGGTGTAACTGCTTCAGGTTT